ATTCCAGTTCGGTCCTATAGGATTCTGGCCTTAGACATTTCCAATGGGGAATCATTGTATTAGTCTGTTGTAGAAGGAATAACAACAAAGAGTCTTGTGGCACCATGGGATTTTATTTGGCATAAGCTTTCCAGCAAGCTTCATTAGATGAATTGTTTTAAGGAATTTAGACAACTGGGAGAATAACTCCCTTGGTGAGCAAATGAGTCATCCACCATTATCATTCCCTGTAGTCCTTATCTTCTATTCATCACCATCTTCTGAAAGCATTTTGAAAAGTTGTTGAATGCAAAAGCTCCAGTCATCTGAAAAGGAAAAATGGCAGGCAATATATATCATAATAGTTCAGGACTAAGTTGATCATATACATTTTATGCCAAAAAGGGCTTTAAGATGTAGCTGTTGGGCAAAAGTAGGACAAATCCTTGTATGAACTGCAAATTTTGTTTATTGTGAACTCTTCCTCTTATGTGGTATTATTGCTTTCATCGTATTAACAACAGTGTATGTGCCAAGGTCATGCTTCACCCCATTCTTCTTTGAAGTGATATCTGCGGAGAAACTGAGTTACAGTTCTCTTTGTGGACCCGTAAGAACAGTGAACACTAGCCGTGACCTTAATGCAAGTAGTTATTTTTGTTTTTTGCGGCTCCATTGGTCACTCCTACTCAACATCTCACACATGATTGTACCCATATAAATATCAATATATGCTGTTATGAAGAAAGGTGGAATTACAAAAACCAAACCATGATAATCTGTTCCCAAAAATATTATTATTATTATTATTATTATTATTATTATTATTATTATTATTATTATTATTATTGGACAGGCAACAAGATTAGCACACAGCCAACAAGATCACTATGCTGGCTTTTGTATTCGATCACACGTCAGATACTTCCCAAGTGTCTAGGACTGTGAGATGCATCAGTGAATAATGCATGTAGATCGGAGTAGGGTGGCCTTTTGCAACTGACAGATGGTAATTTTGTCAGCGCCAATTGTATTTAAGTGCAGGACAAGGTCTTTAGGTACACCCAGTGTACCGATCACCATTGGGACCACCTTTACTGGCTTGTGCCAGAGTCTTTGCAGTTCAATCTTTAAATTCTCATATCGTGTAAGTTTTCCAGTTGCTTCTCATCAATTCGGCTGTCACCTGGAATTGCAACATCATCGATCCATACTTCATTTCCTCCACAATCGTGAGGTCAGGAGTATTGTGTCAATCTGAATTTAGAAGTCCCAGAGTAGTTTGATGTGTTCATTTTCTGTAACCTTTTAGGCTTGTGATCCCATCAGTTCTTTGTCACATGCAGATGGTATTTGTGGCACAAGTTCCACAAATAATAATAATAATAATAATAATAATAATAATAATAATAATAATGTTTATTTATACCCCACTTTTTCTCCCTATAAAGGAGACACAAAGCAGCTTACATTAAAAGCATTTTGATACAATTTAAAATATACAAATACACAAACATTAAAACAGAATTAAATATCAATGGTATTAAAAATTCACAGTTAAAATCCATTAAAGTAGCCCTAGGGTCCCATACTGGGATAAACTAAATCAATCAATCAAATAAACAAACTACACTGTGCCAAGTAGTGGGTAAATCTTTAACACAGAAATAGGATCTGTGCTATATTACATGATAAATTGTGGGAACATACCAACAATGTAGGCCTAAATATCCTAAAGGCATCTCCTATCTGATCTTGAAAATCAGCAGGGATGTCCTTGTATAGTAGTACTTAAATGGGAAAATACCTAGAAAAAGCAGGTGCTGCAACCTATATTTCAGAAGAACTGACTGTTCCTATAAAATTAACAGGGTCACCATAAGTTGACTGACAACTTGAAGGTACAAAATTGCACACATTATTCCTCGCAGCATTTAGCAAGATTGCACATTTACTCATCCCATGAAAAATTATGGTAATGTCAGCAGCATATCCTAGTGGTTTTATAGACTAACCATGACACAGGACCCATGATGTGGAAAACAGAAAGAACATGGAGAAGAGTTCTGTAATGAAGTATATGTTCTCAACAGAAGGGCAGTAAACTTAAGCTTGAAATTTAGTTATATTTATTATGAAAGAAGGCTCGACCAAGATATTCAAGCAAACATTTGAGGTATCGGTGACATCATGATTTCAAGCAGGATAGTACAAGATCTCTCAGAAGATTTGTCTCAGATTATAAAGCTGAATTATGTACTTTTGCGACAAGAGTAGGCAACTGTGGTTCCCTAGATGTTATTGCTCTCGAACTATTATCGACCCAATTTAGCATAGTCAATATTGAAGGATTATAATAGCTGCAAAACCACATGAATGCCACAATTGCCCCACCATTGCTCCAAAATCAGATAGTAGAACTGCTTGAATCTTGAAGTGAGTTGGGAGGTCATCCTTGCTCACCAGAAACCAGCCTTCCAATTTTTTTGGCCAGTTGGAAATACGTATTTTAGAAGAGAGGACAGGTAACTTGTGAACAAAGGTTATGGAGGAGGTTAGGTAAACTCGTGAAGGGCGAGAGATCGAAGGGAATCAGAATTGTTGTCTGGTGTGTAGGAAGTGGAAACAGACTTGAAGTTGCCAGATATTAAATATTTTAAGGAACTGTCTCCCTTGTTGCCAATATGTAAAGCCGCTCTGAGTCCCCCTAAGGGTTGAGAAGGATGGGGTACAAATATAGGAAATAAAAAAATAAGGCATTGTTGTGGTGTTAAACACAAGACAGGTACCATGTTTCAGCCAAATACAACTTTGGAGAACAATTGCAGTAGTTTGGATCCAAAAGCACCCTTTCACAATCCATCAGAGAATATGTTCATCCTTTCTTCTATATCACTAAGGTTTTCTAAGTCCCTCCTATGGTATTTTGGATGTTCTTCCAACTTTGTACAACAGATGAGAACCAATCTGATGTAATTGTGAAGACGCTGGACCTAGGAAATCCAGGTTCCTAGGAAATCTGCTAAGCTGTAAAGTTCCACATATGAACTTCAGCAAATCATGGACCCCCAGCCTGATCAACTTATGACTTCATCAGACAGGGCTGGTTTTGGTGGCATACGCTGTTTCTGCTGTAGTTTAACCCATCTGTTCCCATCCTACGACGTACAGCTACTTCTGACAGGACTCCATGACGAAACAACAGTGGAAACGGTGTATGCCACTATGGTGGCAACACAGGAAGCTTCCCATGTTGCACCAGCAACCATGGGGGAAGCCATGTGGTGGACCCCCATGGAATGGGGTTTTGGGTAAGTTGGGCAATATAGGGCATGGAGCAACAGGTTCCTCATGCCCCCCACCTCAACGGGCACTGCCGGATTCACCACGATAAGTTGTGATTCCAGCAGCCAATATGATGAGGGCCTTAATAGGGGTGTTATGAGACTGAAGTGGAAAGAAAGAGAAGAAAGGGAAAAAAAGGGATAGAAATAAAGTGAACAAAACAGGTAAGCAAGGCAGTAAGAAGAAAGTTGGATCAATGAATATCACTTCTAAGAAAACATTACTCACAGGTTCTCTGGGTCTAGCTTTATGGCAGAGGTACTGTGTGGTTTCCCGAGATCTGGAAAGACAAAGGCTGCTCCTATACCCTGGACTGTATACAGCCACTGCCTGGCCACAGGGCTTTTCCTAGCAATCCTCAGCTGCTCTATACAGCCAGAGGGAAAGTCCTGCATTAAAGAGATACTGGAATTATCTCTTCCAATAGTATTTGTGTATCTGGAGATTATGTGTTTGTGGCTTTTGGCTTAGAGTAACTTCATGACTTTCATAGAGTTGTCTTAGGCAAGGAATACCCAGAGGTGATTTTGCCGGTTCCTGCTTCTGAATTATAGCCTACAGAAGCAAGCTGGCATTTGTTGATGGTCACCCATACAAGTATTAACCAAGGCTAACCAGTTTAGCTTTCAAAATCAGACAGAATCTGGTACCCTAGGATATTTAGTTACAGCAGCAGAAATCAAGAGGATTCCAGCTTATGTCTCTAAAACGCCCCTCCCCTTTGAAATTGTGAAGGAAGTAACTTTCAAAGCAAAGATTGTGACATTTGTCAAGAGATGAGTGACCAGCAGTCCTCTCCAAAGGCTTCAAAACAGGATTTTATGTTTCTCCCCCCCCCCCCCTTCAGCCTCCCAAGTTTCTAAAATTGCTGCTTGATAATGGGACCTGAAATAACCCCTAGGTTTTTGTTTTTGTTTTCAAGTGTGTTCTTGCTTAAGGTTTAATTGGCTCCAGTCAGTAGGAAAGGGCTCCAGGACTGATTATTTATGGCTTACTGTCAAAAGGAGCTATAAAAAAGGGCAGTATTATCTTGGAGATGCTGGGAAGCAAAGTGTGGGGAGGGAGGAGAGAGTGTGTGCATAGGAGTGTGTTTTCTTGTACTGGATAAAATCAGTTTTGCTGTCTCAGCAGTGTGGTTTAAATTGAAGATTAACCCTTTGACCTTCACAGTGTCAAATCACTTACAGATGGATCACCAGCTACACTTCTCTTCTTCCCCCTCCTCCTTCTCTCCTAAGTTTTGGGGGAGAGGGGGGCATTCTCCTTAAGAAAAAAAGAGGGGGAAAGGAGTTGTTTGTTCTTGCAGCTGGGGCTTTGAGTGGCTCAGAAGCCAATCTGATTAAAAACAGCACTTGGCTAAACTTTGCAGAATCCTGCAAAAAAGAAAGAAAGGGGGGAACCTTAATCCTTTTGTGCACAATACATAAAGGATCTGCTTTTTTCTTTCTATAATGTTGGAGCCAGAATTATTCCTCGAGAAACTACCTCTCTCTCTCTTTCTCCCTTCCCCCCCCTTCCCCCCCCCCCCCCCCTCTTTAGACGTGTTGTACTGCTGGGATTAAAGTGTCTGTTCTTGAAAATGTAACATAGTTTTTATTGGGATAAGATAAGCTTTTGGGTTGTGGTTTCAAAAAAAAAGTGAGTAATCTTGTTTAGACCATTTTCCATTTCTACAGCACCAGCAGAACAGAAACCAGGTCTGGTGGCAGATCTTCTTCTTCCTCCATAACGTGGCCTTGAACATGGAGGCAAACAGACATCGCGCTGGCCGTAGGTGAGACCTGTCCCACCTCTTCCTGGTTCCATCCAGCCTACTGGGAACACTGAATCAATCCAGGGCAGAGATGTGCATGCCGCTGGATGAAACAGGGGGTTCCCATTATACAGAGGACTCTTCTTGTTGTACAAAAGGCTTGTTTTAAAAGGACTTGCTCTGTCTCTCCTCGTGGCTTGCCATCTTCTGAGGTAGGGAGCTTGGGTCCAACACCGTGGAAGCAAAATTCTCCTCCAAAGACAATCAAGATTCATCTGCACAAGAGGAGAGCTCATATTGGTTTTCTTTGGTAATGGCCTTGTGCATTTTGTAAAGTTGGCTGCTGGTGATATCCTAGGACTGATAAGTTGAAATGCATTTTGGCTGACTTCCAAATGAGACACACTGGCTTCCTGATGGGAAAATTTAGAAGAGAATCTGTTCAGAAGCTATTATGAAATATAGCATGTATATACAACTGGGCAGCCAGTAATTGGATATTTGCCTTTTAATTATTGCAGGCACTGGTGTAAAAAGGGAGCAAGACTTGAGTAGTTAGGTAAAATCTCTGGAATTTATGAAGCCATGAGGTCCCATTCATGTATACCCTGGGTCCCATTCATTCCCAATCCCAATCTTCAAAAATTAAAAATGCATGGGGGAATTGAAATTAATATATTGCTTCGTGCTCATATATAAACCATATCATACAACACATGATTTTTCATCTCCCTTTTACATGTAGATGCAACGTCACGAGTCTTCTGATGTGGTTGTATAAAGATCCACCACTGACTTTCTCTGATGAGAGCTTTAATATTGGAAGTGACAAAAAGAGGTGTTCTAAATGCATTAGATGGATTTTCCTTAGAGCCCTTCCATTTATCCCATGTGGCCTTGGAACAACATCCAAACGATACCAACCCTGGAGTTTCTCTCCCATTGGGGTCAATAGGGTTGGGAAATAAAATAGCAGTAGAAAAGAAAAGAAGGGGGTTTCTATTACAATACACAATTATAATGTTATATTCTACTTTAATTACAATAGCAGTATCCTATGGAATCGTGGGATTTTCAGTTTAGGAAGAGATTTGGATTTCCCAACCATATACCTCAAGTGCCTCATCAAACTACAAATCCTAGAATTCCACAGGATGATACTATGGCAATTAAAGTAAAAGACATTGCTATACTTGTCTAGCGTGAAGGGTTTCAGAGAGACAGAATTTCCAAATAGAAAGAAAAATAGCTGTGGACAAACATACTTTCAGAACCAAGAAGGCATTGGAAAAAGCCATTTCCCCCCTTTTCTCCTTTCCTTCCCTCATAAAACTGCTCTGCTAAACATGAACTGTATTGTGTGTAACCTGACAGATACAATTGAATTTTGTGATATAATGAGAAAATACAAATGCCTTTATTTTAATCAAGGCCTCATTTTACAGCTATATTCAGTGTAAGAAATGAAGCTGCAAACTTTTGCCCCTAAAGTTACCTATCTTTGTTTTTGCCATGAGGAAAATAGGGATCAGACTGAAATGTTGTGGTGGTGAAGAATGGCAACAATTGTGTAAAAGAAAAAAGAATTATTATCTAGAGTTAGATAGAATGGCCTCAATCCAAAGAACAATGAAACTCGCTCTGCGCCCTTGAGGGGACTTTAGGTTTATTGAGCCCCAACCTTGACACAAGCAAGGAGAGGCAGAGGCTCTGTGTTGAGACATGGTGCTACAGGACCAACACTTTTGGTAGATTACACTCCTTGAACCCCTGAGTACTTTTCCTATTCTTCAACATTTAGCAAAATTTCCCCAACACGTAGGAGTGACCTTTGTTTGATAATCCAGCCGAAAGTAATAACAATGATATCAGCACTAAATTATTATCTTTTATATCTTGAATCTAAGAAAATAAATAAAAACACAATCAAGTGACTGTACTAGTATCGTTTTTTCAAACAATGCTTTTCACTTGTGGTTTTGAAACAAAAAATAATTAAGAACAGATTATTTTACTGCAAATTTTCCCTAAATTTGTATATTCAGATTTCTGGTTTAGAAGACAAAAAGGTGGCAAAAGAAGAAGAGTTTTTCTTTCATTTGACTTTTGCAATCCCCAGTTGGAGATCTTTGTGTCCTTACTCTAGAATTCTTTTGTTTCTCCTGTGAAACAAAGCTTGCTAGAAATTTTGATGGAGAGTATTTCTTCACATTTTCCATGATGAGTTAGAAGCTTAATGCTCTAAACCCTGGGTTGAATCCAGAATTTGTCTCCAATTAATAGAAAGGCTCCTTCCATCCGTGGAAGGCTTCTGACCCACTGCCAATTACTTCCTTGCCCTGCAACCCCAACATGCCACTAGAAACCCTGCTCTTGGGGGGGATATATATATATCACAATATATATAATAATGTGGGAAATGATGTTGAAGGCTGCCAAGAAAGGGGATAATTGACAAAAATGCTTTGCTCTCTGGTTCTACCTGCCAGAGTGTGGAAATGTGCTCAGGGAGAGCTCTCGCTGGCAGAAACACATCCTGGATCCATGCCTCTTTTTGTTTCCTGTTGGAAAGAGCCTTCCCTGTACCAAACCCAGACACCTGAGAGTTTATAATTGTCAATCCAGATGTTAGAATGGACATCCCAAGAGCTGCAGCAGTGACAGATTGGTCAGCCAACTTTGGAAGGTCAAGTTTGGTCCCTCAGCCGTGTCCATTCATTCATATGCCACTTCTTTCTTATAGTGTGCCTCTGAATTATACAACCTGTGTAATGATCTATGGACTCTGGGTGGGAGGGGATTTACTCTAAAGTAGCTCCCCCCCCCCCCCTTGCTGTTCCAGATTAATAAAGCAATGCTTACCTAAGAAATGAAGAAAACTAATTGATACTTTTTAAGTCCCGTCATGATCTCCCCATTAGTGAGCAATATTGGCAATCAATGTAGATGAACACTGAGTTCTTAGCCCTGTCCACAAATTCTGGTACTTGTGAGCTAAAGCAGTGTTTCTTAACCTTCCTAATGCTACGACCCCTTAATACAGCTGTAGTGACACCCAACCATAAAATTATTTTCATTGCGACTTCATAACTGTAATTTTGCTACTGTTATGAATTGTAATGTAAATATCAGACATGCAGGATGTATTTTCATTCACTGGACCAAATTTGGCACAAATACCCCAAATTTGAATACTGGTGAATACTGGTGATGTTGCGAGGGAATTGATTTTGTCTTTTGGGAGTTGTAGTTGCTGGGATTTATAATTAACCTACAAAAAGTGATTCAACATTGACAGGAGGGAATAGGAAAATGTTTCACAGGGCCGTGTTTCAGTTTGGAATCTGTATATTTCATATTACTAGAGTGAGCTGGAAATCTAAAAAAGCTAGGGAAGAAGGGGGTGGAATGCCTGCCTGGGGTTAATTGCTGTTAGGTGCCTCCAAGTTGACACTTGACTTAAGGCAATTCTAGTCAGGTTTTTCATGGCATGTTTTATTAAGAGAATGTTTGCCCTTGCTCTCTTCTAAACCCAAAAATGTATGACTTGATCAAGATCACTAGTGGGTTTCCATGGCTCAGTGGGGATTCAAATTCTTGTCCCCCAGAATCTTAATCCAACACTCAAACTATGGTTAATATTGATACATTACTGTTGAAAAGCCAGTAATGTTTATAATAATAATAATGATTATTATTGTTGTTATCAACACAGTATGTGAACACAAGCATTTAAATGATAATATACATGCATTTCAATGTAAGGACATGGCACAGAATCCACAGAGGATTATTGCTGAAGAAAGATGGGGGAAGCCCACAAGAAATAATGGCTTTTCATTTCCTTGAAAAGAGGAACAAAGCTCTTATTTTAGAAAGGTGGGAAATGTGTAGGCCTCTGGTTGTTGGACTGCATTGCAGTTTAACAAAATTTGGAGCGATATACTTGCCCACAAATGATGTCAGAAAAAAATGAGAACTTTAGAATTTCTTATCTCTTCAGCCCTTCTCATGAACTTTTAGAATGTACTACACGAATAGTGAGTATATCCTAATATGGATCTTGGCTAATATTGCACTGCAACTCCAATCAGTCCTCACCATTAGGTAGGCTGACTAGGGCTGGTTAGAGTTGTGGGCTAAAACATGCTAGAGGTATCCATCCACCCATGTGCCACAGTATTCAGCTGCACTGGAACTTGCTTGAATACTTTCTGAAATTTCTGCCATGTTGTCTCTGGAAAAATGCATATGTTTTATCTCTCTGTACACCTATTTAACCATTGTGGATACCTTTGTTGTTAATTGTCATCAAATGGACCTTGACCTGTGACATCCCTATAAATGAGAGACCTCCAAGTCACCCTGTTACTTACTTACTTGGGCGATCCCTCATTGTCAGGAGTGATTTGAATGCAATATTCCTGCTTCTTGGCAGGGGGTTGGACTGGATGGCCCATGAGGTCTCTTCCAACTCTTTGATTCTATGATGGCCTTCCAAGTGTAGTGTCCTGGCGGTGGATACATAGGTGACTGTGGAGCTCTATTCTTGACCCATATGTTCTTCCACAGTGAGGACATCGGTTTCAAGGTGGAAGGTGGTCCTGGTCAGAGTTGGCTTGACACACCTTCCTCTTGGCATGTTCCTCCCTTTTGCCCTCCATTTGTGCCTCGTCAAATTCCACAGCAGTTCTGGTCACAGCTGACCTCCAGTTAGAGCGCTCAAGGGCCAGGGCTTCCCAGTTCACGGTGTCTATGCCACAGTTATTAACGTTAGCTTTAAGCCCACCTTTAAATCTCTTTTCCTGTCCACCAACATTTCATTTTCCATTCTTGAGTTGGGAGTATAGTAACTGCTTTAGGAGACAGTGATCAGGCATTCGGCCAGTCCAGCTGAGTTGATGGCGTAGGAGCATCACTTCAATGCTGGTGGTTTTGCTTCTTCCAGCATGCTGACATTTGTCCAGCTGTCTTCCCAAGAGATTTGCAGAATTTTTCAGAGGCAATGCTGATGGAATCGTTCCAGGAGTTGAGTGTGATGTCTGTAGACATCTATGTTTTACAGGCGTATAACAGGGTTGGGAGGACAATAGCTTTATAAACAAGCACCTTGGTATCCCTATGGATGTCCTATTCCTCAAACGCACCCTGTTAACAACAGCTCTGCTCCGGGCTTGCAAATTCAGAGATGTGGCTTCCTTGATGGAATCTATTTACCTGGAATGCCATCTTCCTCTTTTCCTACTGCCATTGTTTATAAAATGGTTCTAGTTGGGCATGCTGAACTTACCTTCTTTGGGGACCCTTATACACTAAACAATTACAGTGCTATGATTTCACTTTAATTTTCATGATTTCCCCCCATGTAGTAGTAGTAGTAGTAATAATAATAATAATAATAATAATAATAATAATATAATAACACTTTATTTGTTCCCCGCTACCATCTCCCCAAGGGACTCGGTGCGGCTTACATGAGGCTGAGCCCAAATACAACAATACGAGCAATAAAAAAACAATACAAGTAATTAAAATAAAAAAGACATAGACAATAAAATATACAACATTATCAATAAGACAGCACACAATTAAAAACAGTGGGAAGGCCAAATGTAAAATTAAAATTGGAAGTGATGCTGGGACATGGACGAAAAGGTGATAGTGGTGTTTGTGGAAGGGCATACGAGCAGACCTAAAAAAAAAAGTAAAGTGCTTGGGAGGACAAAGTGCTAAGGGATCATTATTCCAGGAAGGCACACTGGAACAGCCACGTCTTCAAGCTCCTCCTGAAGACTGCCAGAGTTGGGGGCCTGTCTGATGTCTTTAGGGAATGAGTTCCAGAGTCGAGGGGCCACTAGGGTTTGTAGTTTGGTAAAGACTAGAGCAATTTGGCTGTGGATTGTAAATGCCCTTCCCAGGATTCCATAGAACCATGGAAATCAATACAGAAACATAGTGCTATATTTGTGACCAAAATTTTCCCAACTCCTAAAATTGCAACTTTGAATGAGAGTGAGTGCCTTTGTATGTACCTAGAGGTAATGAACTTCTCCAGATCTTGTCAAATTACAACACTTGTTATACACAATAATTGCCTGGAACTGATGGGGATTTGAATGCAACACAATCTAGAGGTCCAGAACCTCCTCTCCCTTGTTCTGTCTAAGGCATCGTGCAATATGCAACATCTACATTTGTCCACTGCAGCTGCCAAGACATCCCGGAGGTGGAGGCCTCTCACAGAAGAGTGCTCTTTCCTGTGAGAAACAATAGCACATACTTTGTTTTTGCCTGAGAAATGTCAGTGCTTTGTCAGTGTGTTTTAGGACTTCTGAGCTTTCACTCAAGAAATGCCTTTCAGAAAAGCAGATCTGCTAGGGATGTTTATGATTGCTCTTTCACACTACACAATGAGAACTCTGTGATCCCATATTGACTGCCATAGTTTCATCCCATGGAAACAGTACTATGCAGTTGTACAATTGGCCCTCTGATATTGGGGTTTGGTTCCATGACCCTCAAGGATACCAAAATCAGTTCCATTATATACTGTGAAGTCATGAAGTGGTGTCCCTCACATAAAATGGCAAAATAAAGATTTGCATTTTGATTTCTTAAAAATATTTTTTTCAGGTAATTGATGGATACAGAACCTGTGAATACAGATTGCCGAGCGTACCTCAACAAAGCCTTTCATAATAAATCTTTTTACAAAGCCCCTTTACCCATGTCCAGCCTCTTCTTTGCCTCTACCCCAGAAGACAGGAGCAGAATTCAAAACGATCCAACCAGGTTAGAAAGATGAGCCAAAACTAACAAAATGAAGTTCAACAGGGTCAATGCAAGATACTCCACTTAGGCAGGAAAAAAATGAAATGCAAAGATACAGAATGGGAGACACCTGGCTCAATAGCAGAACGTGTGAAAAAGAGCTT